TGCTAGATCTGGTGCAGCAATTAGATAACTTACATCGCATAACATAAAAACTATTTATTCCTATGGTTTTTATTCTCCTCTCTCGTCCTCTCTCTCTCTTCCTCTCTCTCTCTCTCTCTCTCTCTCGATCTCTCTCTCTCTCCTTCTCTCTCTTTCTCTCTCTCTCTCCTCTCATCTCTTCTCTCTTTCTCTCTTTCTCTCTCTCCTTCTCTCTCTCTCTCTCTCTAGCATCTGCTTCTCTCATCTCTCTCTCTCGTTCTCTCTCGCTCTCCTCTACTCTCTCTCTCTCTCTAGCCCTGCTCTCTCTCTCTCTCTCTCTCTCTCTCTCCTCTCTCTCCTCCCCCCCCTCTCATCTCTCTCTCTCTCTCCCCTCGCTTCTCTCTCTCCTCTCTTTCTCTCTCTCTCTCCCCTCTCTCCTCTCACCCTTTTAATGTTCAATTAAATCTAGAGATATCTAACATAAAGAGAAAAGAATTAAATACTCTTGCCAATCCTTTGGAATTTCCCATAGCATGAAGTCTAACTGTGTCACAGCAATTGAACACGACACACTGAATAGCATATGCCTTTGCAAAGATCCTTAAAAAAACGACATTATCGCAGCAATTTAATTAAGAAATATGTTTTTAAGAAAATAATAATAACCAGTTACTAAACAAATATAGTTGTAGCCGGAGGGCAAGGATAACGCTATATTACGTTTTGTTGAGATGTTCAGGTATAACGTGACCGCATGGTATTAAATTTATTCTACTAGCTAGCTAGGCTAGTATAATATTTCATCAAGCACTGAGTTAGCCGATTCAACCGTGTCCTACATTCCACGCAATAGGGAGAGAATACATCAATCTTGAAACGAGGCATACGATTTCATGACAAAAATTAGCAAATATATAATACAAATCTCACCCTCTGGTGGGTCTTGTCTTTCCGGCTTCCAGCTGGGCCAGCAGGAGCAGCCGCCAAATAAGTGTGAAGGCACCCGTCAAGGTCATGGTAGCAGCGGTCAGTAAGCGGAGTGATGGAAAAAACCAACTCGGCCAGTATTTGCCCATACTCATTAACCGGATAGGAACTCAGCAGTTGCTGCCACGTGCCGTACACGATGATCACTGTGTCCAGTAGTACCCTGACAAAAGGTGTAATACGGTTCTAATTCGCACCACACATACTATATTTATCATGTAATATATGTCTTATCTCTGACATAAGATCTTAATAATATCTTAATAAATTATATATCGTATATGGCGCCAGAACGAACGTCACTGCGAATAAATTTGATGCAGTAATTAATGCCTAGAGCATGGGTTACTATTTGCTAGCAATCATGTATTAAGGGTCATCGTAGTATCAACAGTGATCCCACACTATACAGATTGCTACCTATTAATATGACACTAGTCCTCGCTCATATGGTCGATGCTCTTCCAGGGGGTACTGCCGATCGGAACCGTATACCCGGGGTACGGTCCGGGGTATACCGCGAAGTACCTGGTATACTATCTGATATGGTTAAGGCTTAGGGTTAGGGTTAGGGTTAGGGTTACGGGTTAGGCGAGTAGGAGTAGGCACTCCGGGGTAGATACTCGTAGTTTGATTAGGCGAGGTACGTCGATATTAGATAGTACCAGGTACGTTCCGATATACTGGGACCGATACAAGGGTACGTTCGCAGTCCCGTGGGGACATAGACCCTCTCAGCCATAGTCCTCTGCCCCAACCCCAACAGTCTACAAAATAAAATCTGTCAATTTTCACTTTGTTTAGGGTGTGTATGATATGAACATTGGTATTCTAAAAGCGTAGCCATTACCTTGAATCACTCCAGCACCCAGTTTGCTACATTAATTGATCAGATGTTGTGATGAAATGGTTCCCTAGTTCCAAAATTAAGGAAAGTGGGAATGACACGTAAGCGCACCTTGGTGTGTGACTAGAAGAGAGGGGGATATCTAAAGCGAAGTATATATATGCGGAGAACTCTCCAGTTATGATAGCATATCTCCCAGTATATACTCTTGAATAAATGACTAATATGCATAAGTTTTGATGCGCAAAATAAATGTTTCAGAATCTGAAGGTCTGAAAATCCTTGAGAGGAGATGGCGCTACGCCGAAATGATCGCCAATCTGTTGGTTTTCGAATATCGTGCAATCAGCAAAAAACAATGAAAATATTCCAGTTCAAATTGACTATAACGAAAGTCTAAACACATATACATTGATATAAGTATGATTGTACGAGGTGTCTGACCAGTGAGCACGAAATAAACGTAATAGGACGTGTGTCATATCTCCATAGGAGTAAACCAACTGGTTTGGCGGCTGGCCTTACACATTCACATACCAAATTTAACAAAAATCGGACATGAATTTAGATTTAAATTTTAATTTTTAAGATTTAATGGTAATTTTGAGGAAAACTTGCAAAAGTTACCTAATTTAGATAATTAAAAAAAATCAAACCCTGTGTGATATGTTTTGGCCTAAGTCCTTATATTCGAGAGTTATTTCCATTCACATAGCTAGAAATGAGCAAAAGTCATTAGAACCTGAACGACTTGACTGGCTCATTTCCATTTTGCCAAAAAAGTGGACGTGGCCGAAGTAGGTCGACTGGCAGTGCTCCAAAAATTAGGACGGTTCAAACTTCTCCATAGGAGTAACAACTGAATGGAATTGAACTGTGGGTCAAACCGGTCTTGAGTTATCGTGACGGTAGGCAGACCACTGAAATGCAGTGAAATTGCCAAAATCTACCTAATTTGCATAATTAAAAAATAAAATCTAAACCTGTGTAATATGTTTTGGGGCCAGTCCTCATTCATTCACATACCAGAAATAAGCGAACCCCATTGAACCTGAACTGACTTGTGGCCATTTCCATTTTTGCCAATAAGTGGACGTGGCTCGAATGTAGGTCAACTGGCGTGCTCCAAAATAAGACGCTCAAACCTCTCCCATAGGAGTAACAACTATATGCAATTTGAAACATGTGGGTCAAACGGTTCTTGAGTTATCGTTGACCGTAGCCAAACGTTGACGGACGGACGGACGTACGACGGACGACACCCCATGGCAATAGCTCATCTTGACGATGTCAAGGCGAGCTAAAAATGAAAACTGTACTCAAATACCAGGAGAAACATTTTGTATAATTTCAAAAGATAGTTATTAAATATTGGCCTATACAAAATATTGTTAATCTGAATAACAGATTTCCAAAATATCTACAGCTGCTGTTTAAACATTTAACAATATCACAATGTTATGGAGATTGTGGTTACTGAGGTGAAAAAATCTTCTCCAAACTACTTACATATATACAAAATAGTGGTCATTTGAATTACAGATTTTCAAAATATCTATCGTTATTTTCATAGAAAGACAGCCGATGTATAAACATTTAACAATATCACAATGTTATGGAGATTGTGGTTACTGAAGTAAAAAAAATCTTATATATATATATAACCCATATATTATCTTAATATATGATATATATAGCCTTGCAAACAATCACGAAATTTTTTGCCGCACCTAGATTCCTTCATTTTGATGTGTTCCCATAATAGAACGTAATGTCACAAGTAATGACTGGTGAGCAATTCCCCCCAAGGCCGTTGCAAAGGCGAATGTCAGCCGTAATTCTATTGCTACTCTACGACAACCACTGCAGCTGACTAGGCGTTGGTTAGACATTATTACAGTATTACGTAACATCATAAAACCAAAGAAATATATATGATACCAATCGTACGTGAGACAGTGGGGTAGGCTGAAAGCACAAAGTCGCGAATTCAGAGTACGTTGTAAAGTGCAGGTAAAGAGCTGCCTATGCATCAGTGCTACCACAAACCATTATACGGGTGTACTGCTTGGTGATAATTTTAGATAAATTTTCTCCATTTTCAAAAGTAATTATCAGCAGAAGTGTGTACTGTGCATTGTGCACGTAAAACCTATACATTCCGGGCGAATAGTGAGTAGTAGTAGTGAGTAGTATGAGTAGTATGAGTAGTAGTAGTAGTAGTAGTAGTAGTAGTAGTAGTAGTATAGTAGTGAGTAGTATGAATTGTTCCAGTGGATAGCGATTTTGTGAAAAATTATTCAGCCATGGTGACTGCAAAGGCCCATTAATTTGTGTAAAATGTAATCAGACAGACTCGTGGAAAACGAATATATAATGTTGGGCTGACAGAGGTTTCATGTGATTTGTACACTTCGAATGCATAGGGATTTAGCATAAATATAATTCCAGTTGTATTATGCAGACAGCCACCTTTCAAGTATTTTTACTTATTCTTTTGATGTTATGCTTCTTATGTCGGCAGCCTTTAGACGCCATCTAGTGGTGGTTTCCACATCTGAACGAACTTTGCTAGCGAGCGTGCGACAAGGCACGTAACGCACAACACATTTACACATACAATATGCACGCGTCCGTATGCACGTCGCTCCGTCCCGCATGCCAGCATGCAGACCATGCAAAATGACGTCACGCGCAGCGCACGAAACGCACACGACACGTACAAGCCGCACGCACACCCACACGCACGCACACTGACGCTCACACAGCACAGCATACATCGCCGCGACGACATCACACGGGTGCACCGCACGCACACCACAACAACACGCTACGCCGCCGCACGCACGCACGCCGCACGACTCAGCACAACCGACGCAGACGGCACGCACCGCACCACAGCACGCGCCACCGCGTCCCTCCCTCTCCTTAAGCACACCATATCACCTAATCAACGAGCGAAAGAAAAGGGACTGCATGGGAGAGCGACGAGCAAGGGATGAGACGGGATAGAAAGTGGACGAGAGCGAGCGTCGGAGAGAGAGAGAGATAGAGAGAGACCGAGGGCGAGCGAGAGCGAGACAGAGAGAAAGAACGAGAGCGAGACAGAGAGAAAGAACGAAAGCCAGAGAGCGCGCGAGCGAAAGTGAGAGAGACACCGCGTGACATCGAAGCCTCGGGCGCGCACCTGAGCTGGCTGATCCACTCGAAGTCGTTGATGCTGTTCACGTGTTCGGTGAGCATGCGGGCGAGCACGTCGCGCGCATGCACCTCGATGACGATGAGCGCTGACAATATCATGCGCTCGAGGCGGCTGAGGTCGCCACGCACCAGCTCCCGCAGATCGTCCAACTGCCGGAGCACAGACGGACGCACAGCAGCAGCAGCAGCAGTAGCAGCAACGTCGAGCAGGCGCAGCGACGAAGCAACGCGAAGAAAATGCAGATTAGAATACGAATGGAAACGAAATGAAAGTGATGGAGGAGGGGATGGAAGCGCTGCCGAGAAACATGTTGCAGAAACGTGGAGTAAACAAATAGGCAAAATAACGTGAAAATATTGCTGACAGACGTATGGTAGAACCACAGAGTAAACAAATAGGCAAAATAACACGCACGCATTGCTGACAAACGTAGGTATGGTAGAACCACGGAGTAAACAAATGGGCAAAATAACTAATTGGCAAAATAAACAGGCAAACTAAACGTGAAAATATTGCCGACAGACGTATCGCAGAAACGCAGAGTAAATAAAAATGTAAAATAACGCACAAACATTCCCGAGAAGACACACCGCAAAAACAGAATAAACAAAAAAATCAAAATATCAGCATATATATTTTGCCGACCCACTTCAACAGGAGAGACGCCAGAGATTTCCCCCACACAGTGGCCAGGATTCCCGACAGTGGAGGGGGGTATATAAGCTCATATTGTAAACCTGGGACGTAGGGCTATTTAAAATTAGGGGGTCTGATTTTTTAGGTTTAAGGTTTGTAATGGCAATTAGACAGTTTAGCAGGGCTACTCACATACTTTAATGGATAGTTTTCACAAATTACTTCAACTATAGCAATGCCCCAGGTGACAAGTGACTCCAAATGCTTTTCATGGATTGTTCCTCGACAAGTTACTGTATATTATATCCCTGACGGGGGGATGAAACATGCACCATCCCCTTAGGCTCTTCCTCTGCCATCTAAAGACAGAGTTCTCCAATTATCGTAAAAACAACGCTACGTGTGCTAACACTAGGAAGCTAACCAAGCCTTCCGTGGCCATAAACTCTAAGGTATCACGTGGCAGATTTGCGTCATTTGTGTGCAAGCAGATGCTCAAATTCAAGCACAAGCATCACAGAGTCAGGAAATAAGGTTGAATGTCATCATGACATTCAGTGAATGAATATCACTGCTATGTCTTGGGCAAACCAATTACTAAATCACGATGATACATCTCAACGTTATATACAAATGAAAGCAATTAAGTTTAAAATAAAACTCAATTGGGATTTGTTAAAATTATAATTGAAGTTTTGAACAAGATCCTACTAATTACTGGGGTTTTGCCCCTATTTCCAAGTAGTACTCGGATTAATAAAACAATCGCAGACAAAGCGACTATAAATTTTTTTCATAGATGGCCCGTGAAGAGTTTGTGATTTTTTCCTGAAGGGAGCTAAGCCTACGCACCGTGGCAGGGGGATCATATAGCCACCTATACATTGTAGCAAAATCAGAGAATACCTTTTAAAATTCAGCATTGACAGGTCACATTATATAAATACAGAATAAACATGAATACGATAATGACAAATAAACGTGAGAGAAAACTGGGAAGCTGTCAGCTGTTAACGAATGATTACAAGAATCTGAAATGGATTTCTGTGATTAGGCAGACTATGTCTCCCAATACCTAACACAATAATTCTTCTCACAAATAAGATATTTATACAGTGGCGCCACCAGGGGGTGCGGAACGCGCCGGGTGACACCATCAGAGGGGGTGACGCCAAAATGACTGTCTATAAAATTTCCATATTAACCACATGAAACTATGTAAATATAAATACATAACGGCGGTCCATATGATATTGTAACTTTTAAGTTGTTTATGTCACTACTATTGCCCATTACATTCAGTGATATACGGGAATTAGGATTTACGAGTAACATTAGTACAAAAAACATTACTAAGGATTCTGTATGGCCTGGTACGGGAGGAGGTCCATGGGGGTGACACCATGAGTTACCGCACAGTGTGACACCAACGCTCGTGACGCCACTGTATTTATATTTGAGAAATGATAGCGTCATTATTTAAATCAGTATTGACAATTTGATAATGCCAACAATGCACCATTTACAGTCAAATCTATGTGGAATATAAATTGGGGGGAAAAACTAACTCAAAAATTTTCATACAAAAATGTAGGTGGAACCTGCTTCCCCTTTCTGGTAAAAAAGAAACAATGTAATTTAATCTAGTAGCATAGCAAAGTATCATCTACTATTACCAAGTTACTAACCACATTATAATATCCCAAAGTTAACACAATGTAAATAGTTTGTCACCTCAGTGATTGCAACAATATAAAACTACCGAGCAATAGATTATATATATATATCAGGGTAAAAAATACACGGGAGCAATGAGCGATTCGCTCTTCAAACCTCGGAAATCGCTCTCGT